AATATAATCAATTTTTATTTTTATTTTTTATTAAAAAAAAAATTAGTAAATAAATAGAATATTTTTTTATATATTTTTAATTTAAATTAATTAAAATTTTTTAAATAAATTAACAATATATAATAATATGTTTATAATTTTTAAACTTTACTTCCTTTTAACTTTTATTTATTAAATCATAGTTAGTTTTATTATAACTTTCATTTATTTTATCAATACCTTTATGTGATTTCATTTTCAATATTTTTTCTATTGATCGTCTATTTTTTCTAGAAAAACTAACTTATTAGTAATTAATGTTTTATTTTTTAGCCATTTTACCTATAAAAAGAAAATCAAAAATTATTAATTTCAAATAAAATTAAAATTATAAAATTTGCTCTATTTTTTTTTTTAGAGAAAATAATATAATTTGGAAAGTTTTTTTTATTTAATTATAATATATATATATATACAATTTATTTTAGTTATTTAACATATATATTTATTATTATTCTATTTTCTTTAATATTCAAAAAATATAATTAGTAATTAAAAAATACATATTTTGCTAAAAGTTTAAAAAAATAAATTAAATTTATAATATTAGTATTATTATCATTTTTTACTCAAAAGCTTAAAAACATAAGTCTATTAAAATTATTAATATAAAAATAAAATAATAGTTTACTTTTATATTACTATAATAATTCAATTTTAATTAAATTAGATTTTATTTCTTATAATATTTCTTAATTTTTTTTTATAATAATATATAAAATAAATAATTTTTTCAAAAATATTAAAGCTTCTTATAATTTATAAATTATTAATATTAAAAAAAAAAACTAGTTTAAAAAATAATTTATATAATATTATTATTAATAAAATAATATATTTTTATTTTTTTCTTTAATTTTTTTTTAAAAGTTAAACAAAAATAAAAGATCTCCATTATCTATTTTTATATTATTTTTTTTTTGTAAAAAAATAAAATAAAATATATATATATATATAAACAAAATATATATAAATATTTAATTATTATTATTAATTCTATAAAATTTTATTTTTAGTTATTTTAATAAATATAATATTTTATAAAAAATTATTATTTATATTAAAATTATACTATTATTATTAATTAATAAAAATATATATAAAATAAATTCTAAATATATATATTATGTATATTTTTATAAACAATACTAAATAAAATTAATCATATTTTTTAATTTTATAATAAGTTAAATCCAAATATATTTTAATTTTAAAAATTTACTTTTTTCAATAAAAATAAACTTTTGATTTATTCCTAAAAACAAATATAATAATCTTAAAAAATTTATTACAAAAAAAAGAAATAAAAATAATTTATTAATTTTTTTTTTTTCAAAGAAACATAAAAAACAAAAATAACAAACAAAATAAAAATAATATAAAAACATTTTCAAAATTTTTTCAAAATATTCTAAATAGTATTATTAATTAAATATTATAAACCATATATAACATTTTCATCCTTTAAATTATCTTATAATTAATCAACATATGTAAAATCAATAAACTTAAAACAGAAATTATTATTAATATTATCCACAATTATTAATATCGAAGAAGCCACAAATGATCTTTTATTTTAAAATAAAAAGAAATGCAATAAATTCTATACAAAAGCTTAAAATTATAAAAAAGCTTTTATATTAAATGCTTATTCATTAGAACAAAAGACTTTAACAATTAAATTCTCGAGTTCTTAAATATTTAAACAATTGAATTAATCTTTATTCGATATTTATTCTTCTACTAGATTTCCATCTTTATCCTTCAAAACACACCCAGCAATTCTAATTCCATACATTTCTGAAGTGGAATTAATAGACTTTTATTCTTGAATTTTTCTTTTTTCTTCAGTATATGAATAATGGAGTGTACTTTTTCCTATTTTTAAATCAATAATAGAGCCATATTCTCTTCCTATATTTAAATTTTCCATAACTACGTATTTTTTATTATTTATTTCTTCTATATTAAAAAATTACGGAATGAATTTTAAAAATAATTTATTTTCTTCGAAAAATTAATTCTAAGGGTCATTTAAATTTTAATAAAAGTTCAATTCACGGTCTTTGCATTTTTTCAAAATTTTATTTTCCCGAAAAATAAAATTTTCAGAGTGTCCTGCGGATATTTATAAACGAAAATCTTTCTATTTTTATATTTATTAATCAATCTACTTATTTTCTAGTTTTGTTTTTTAACAAAAATAAGGCTCTATTTCTATCGAAAAATTATTCACTTGATTTACAAAAACTTATAAAGGACATATTTCTTATTTTTATACAAATTCAAAGTCATTTATTTATACTAATTTTAGTATTTAATCAATTTTATTAGAAAAATAAATCGTTTTTTTATTCATACTGACAAGTTATAAATATATATAGCTATTTTATATTAATAAAAAATATATAAATATATATATATATATATATATATATATATATATATATATATATATGTATATTTTTTTATTTATTTTTTTAAACTTTTATTCATCATTGTTCAAAGTTTATAGATTATTTAAAATTAAAATAATATTCGGATTAAAATTTTCGATTATTTATTTATAAATTTTATCATAGATGTAATTATGTTCACATTTAGTTAATTTTTGTCCGTTCCATTATAAACTTAAATTGCTTTAATTAATGACAATATTATCTATTTAAAAATATAGAGATATAAATAAATATAAATTACTTTCACTTGTTAAAGATAAAGATAAAATATTACGAGATTCTAAAACAGGAAATAAATTTTTAAATGAAAAGGTTAAAATTCTTTATTAAGGAAAACTATTTTAAATTATTTAGATTGTTTTATTTATTATTTAATCATTTATTTAATTAAATATTAAATTATTAACTTCTCCATTTTATAAAGATTTTATAGAATTTTAAGTTTCAACTTCTGAATAATCGATTAATTTAATATTAATGTTTTCTTATTTATTTAATTCAAAATCAATTTAGGGAATTTAATCAATATTTATAATATGAATATTTTACATTTTTTTTTTTATGGTTATTTAATTAATATAAAATAAATATTAAAAATAAATAAAAAAAATTAATATAAAAACAATATTACAAAAAAATAAATAAAACCACAAATTATTATAGAAATAACAAAAAAAAGCATATATTAATTTTAAACTATATAAAAATAATATATATATATATATATATATGTAAAATATATTAATTTTAAAAATAGTAAAAAATATTTTTTTTTAAATATATAAAATTAAATATATAAATAAAAATATAAAAAAAATCTATACAACTAACTAATATAAATTATTATATATTTATATTTCTTTATTTCTTTCTGTAAGTTAATTTTATCTATATAATATATTATTTAATAGAGATAAATTAATCTAATAGTCTGTTTATTTAATATTTCCAGATTCTTTACAAAAAAAAAAAAAAATCTCAATTATTATTTTTATCTAAAAGTTTCTTAGTAACTCAACTAACCATTATTCTATAATTAGTTCTAATATAAATTCAATTTTATTTACAATTAAAATATCTAATCAAGCATTTTTAAATATCTAAAAATTGTACTAAAAACACTTCTATATATATATATTTTACTCTTTATTTTATTATTTTTAAATTAAAGATAATTCTATATATGTTTATAAATATAAAAAAATTCTAATTCACATTCAGTATTTTTTTTATTGATTTATTTAATTTTTATCAGTAATTTTAAAAACAAACATAACAATCCTGTATTTATATAATTTAAACACATTTTATATTACATCAGCAATTATCGAAATCCGTAAATAAATGCCTGAGCATATTTACGATTTTAATAGGGGGGGGGGGTCTTTTTAGATTGAAAATTTCGTAAAACCAGTTATATTGAGCAAAAATTAGTGTCAAATTTTACATTACTTTCCAAAAAATAAGGAATTCTTTATTCGTATAGTTAATAAAATACTATAATACATTAAAAGGTAACAGATTTTGCGAAAATTTTCATTTTTATAGTAATATTAGATAAAAATCTAACTATATACATACAATATATGAAAAAATTCCAAAAATAAAAATAAAGAGCCTATGAAAAATACCTAAAAAAATATATATAATTAGAATTTTCACACTAAATTATGCATGTTTAATACATTATAATTGACTAAATTAATATATTTTATTAATTATCTACTTAATAATATAAACTATATATATTTTTTCCACTAACTAAATACATACTTTGTAGTAAAAAATCAATTGAATAATTTTTTATATAAGCAATATTTAAAAAGAATTTTTTTTAAAAAAAGGCCAAAAAAATACCACTAAAAGTTTGTTAAAATAATCAGATTGACAATATAGACATTATTACTATTCTTTTTTTGATAAATTAAATCTAATATTATATAAAAGAAAAAACTAAAAGAAGATTTATTTTATTTTTTCTAGTTTTTATATATAATTAGTTCAAAATTTACCTTCGATTATATTTAAATAGCTTTTATTTTTTTTTAAACCAATATTCTTGTTTTTTAATTGCATTTTCCTTAAAGATATTTGAATTTTTATTTTTTGTTATAAATAAACAATTAAAATATAATTATAAATTAAAATATATATTTAAATTTTATTTTTAACAAAAAAAAAAAAAAAAAAAAAAAAAAATTTTTTAGTTTGTTTGAAATAAAAAAAAAATCAATATAATTTAAAAAAAAATATAAAAAAATAAAAAAAATGAATTAATAAAAAATCGAGCAAATAGAAAAAGGTAAATCAATATTTAATAAAAAAAAACGGAAAAAAAAAAAAAAAAAACAAGAAAGAGGAAAATAATTAACATCAGAATAAAAAACTTTATTAAATTAAAATTATGTAAAAAACAATATTGTTTTCCTCCCAGTTTAAATTTTAGATTTTTACGAAATGTTTTAATTATATGCAGATCTTCGCACAAAAAAGGTAGATATGAAAGATATTTTAATGACAGCATAAACCTTAGGATTAGACGAAAAATATTCATTAGTATTTAAAATACTTACATAAATATAAGAACATTATGAACAAGAACAAGAATAAAATAACCGTTTAGGCACTTTTGATTTTGAAACATTTATTTTATATTTAACTTAATATTTAGTATATAATTAAATCAAAATCAAATTTATAATATAATATAATATAATATAATATAAGGGAAATACAGTTACATAAGAAGGGAGGGAATCCTTATTTTCAATTTTAGATAAAAAATCAAGAAATTTTGTCACTAAAGATGAACTTAAATAAACTGCAGATGAATTAAGATATAATATAGGCGATTAAGAAATCGAAGAAATTGTTTAAAATGTTGCAGGCTTTGGATAATAAGGATTTAATTTTGAAAAATTCGATAAATACGTTGCAAGAAAAGTTGAGAGAAAAAACATTAAATGAATAATTGTTTTTATTATAATATATATATATATACATATAAACATTTTTTTAAAATTATTATATATTATATATTTATATTTTTAATAATATAAAATTAACATACAAAAATATATAAATATTTTTTGTTTATAAATATATATATTATATTTTATAATATTTTTTTATTATATTACATATATTTAAATTTTACTTTTACTTTATTTTTTGATTTTATAAAAAAAAAAAAATAGATAAAAGGGTATAAATATAAAAATATAAATTTAAATATATTTGTATTTTTTATTTTGCTAATATAATATTGCATAATACTAATTAATAATTTAATATTATTATTTTTGTCGTGTACAAAAAAAAAAATTCCCTATAAATAAAATAAAACTCTAATTATTATAATAATAATTAAAAAGTATTTTTTTTAAATAAAAAAAACATACAAATAATAACCTTAAAAAATCAAAAAATATGGATTCCACCAATACTTTTAAATTCACTGCCAGAGTAAGACCCGACAAAGAAAAATTAATCGAAGATTTAAAAAATTTAGACTAATCTGAGCAAGACTTTTTAAAAGAACACATTGAAAAAAACATCCAACATATGGTTTTAACCGGAAATTCATATTCTAAGAATTTTTGTGAATAACTAGGCGAATATTTCAAAAAATCCTAAAACTTAATAGTAAAAAAAAAAAAAAAACCCCCAATACAAAAAATATATATAAAAGAAAATTGATATACATGATATTTTTGTGACTCGTTTAAAAACAGAAATTCCAGAAGCTATATCATTTTTAGGAAATTCTTTAATAGGCAAAAATATTACAGAGTTAGATATATCCGATAATGCTGTAAATCCTTTCGGAGCAAAAGCATTAGTTCCATTTTTGGAATAAGCTACAAACTTAAAGGTATTCTTAATAAATAACGGTGGATTAGGTATAGATGGAGTAATAACAATATCATAAGCATTATCTAAAGGAACTCCTAACTTAGAAAAGTTATCTTTAACAAGAAACAGAGCTGAAAACGAAGGAGCTATAGCGCTTTCTAAGGCACTTCCAAATTTAAAAAAACTAAAAGAACTAATTGTATTTTAAGACGTAATAAAAAAAGATGGAATGATAAACTTATTAAGAAGTTTGGCCGAAAACTGTCCTGAGTTAGAACTTTTGGACGTAAGAGATAATTTCATAAGTGAAGAGGCTGTAATTGAGTTAGTAAATTTACTAAAGAAAACAAAAAATTTAAAGGCTTTAAACATATCTGACTGTAATATTTAAGAAAAAGAAAATACAGCAATTGTAGAGGCTATTGCTATTTCAGAAAATAAACTTGTAAAGCTGGGATATATGTACAATGAATTAAATGATGTTTAAGCGAAAAAACTTGTTGATGCTTTAGTATTAAAAGGAACATAATTATAAGTGATTAAAATAATATTATAAATAACATATATATATAAAAAGAATATAAAATAATAAATAATAAATATAAATATATAAATATATAAATATATAAATATATAAATATTTATTTATATTTATATAAATTTATATATTTTTTATTTATTTATATATTTTTATATCATTTTTTATTTTATTATTAATTTTAGTAATTAGATATTAAAGGAAATGATTTATCCGAACTAACTCAAAAATATTTCAAAGAAAAGCTAAAAGATAATTTAAGTTCTTTAAGTAAATTTGAAAGTGATGATGAAGATGACGAAGATTAATAATTAATTAAAGATTTTGCTTAATTAAAAATATGACGAAAATAAAAAATCTATATATATATTTAATTATATTTTTTTATATATTTTTAATTATATTTATTTTTTTATAATTTTTTTATTAAATTAAAGAAATATAACAAAAAAATAAAAACAAAATAAAATATATTTATAAAATAAATATATAAAATATTCAAATTTCTAATTCAACCATTTCTATCTTAAGTTTTTCAATAACATTTTCAACTAAAAGAACTATTTATTCTTCATTTCTTTCTCTATCTCTTTTTATTCTTGAAAGATTATCTTGTGTATGTTATGAAAGTTCTTTTAGGATCATAACGATTTATTCTTCTTTTTATTCTCTTTCTTTTCTTTCCCTTTCGAAATTATCACTTAGTTCATTCATTTTTTCAATAAATTATTAATAAATCTTTTCTTCCACTTCTCTTCTTTATTAAATTTCGTAATTTAATTCATCATTTAATCTTGGTAAATCTTCATTTAAATATACATCTAGATATTCATTTGAATTTATTTAACATTATATTTCTTTGTTTATTTCTTATGATAATACTTCAAATTATTAAGAAATTACTTAAGCAAGCTTTTTTTCACTTTCAATTCTCTCCTTTGAATTATTTTCAATTAATTTTTTGCAGTTTCTTTCTAAATTTACAAGGCTTTTCTAACTATTCATGTCATATAAACTTTGTTATTCTTATTCTTCCCTTATATATTCTTATAATCTTTTTAATTTTTCTGCTAAAATTTCGAATTTCTCTTCTTTTCGTTAGTTTAAGTCACTTATTGTTTACTCGAATGTTTAAATTAGTTATGAAATTATTTAAAATCGGCTCATTTTTTCACCTTCAATAGAATTTTGGATGTTATTTATTCTGTCAAATACCTTCTGGACTCTATCTATTTAATTTTAGTTTATTATTTGAGTATTATTTGAATTATATAAAGAATTGTTATTCATTTTAATTTTTCTTGTTAATATTTTTTCTTTTTTCTTTTAAGTTATTTTTTTTATTTTAAATTTTTTTATTTTTTATTTTCTGTTTTTTTTTTTTTTATATTAAGAATAAAAATACTTTTTCTTAATTGTTTTTTAAAAAATTATTAGGCATTTAAATAAAAAAAAAAATAATTAAATTATAATTTATTTTATTATAAAAATATTAAATATGTGTAAATATAATATATTATATATATATTTATATATATTTTTATATATTTATTATTTTTAAAAACTTTTAAGATAAATATAAACGAATTTAGTTTTCTTAAATCTAAAAATATTAATTATTATAATTTTTTTTGAAAATAATTTTTTTTTTTAATAAATTGATTATTAATTTATTTTTAACAATCATTAATTTAATTATAAAAAAAAAATATTCTAATAAAATACTTAATAAATGGGGAACTATTGTTCAGGATGTGGTTTCGAAGAAGAAAAAAAATAAAACAATTTGATTCAGTAAATATAAAAATAAAATATTATAAAATAAAATAATAAAAAAAAAGAATTACGAAGATATTTTTTAATACTATCATAATAATTAAGAACATAAATATTTTAATTAACACAACATTCATAAAACGAATAGTTAATAATAAAATAATTTTAATAATTCTTTTAAAAACAGTTTTTCATAAACATATTAATATTTTGAATAACAATAAAATCTTAATTAATAATAATAAAATAATGACTAATAATAATAAAATTTTGATTAATAATATAATAATTTTCCATATTTACATAACTCTTATTCTACATAAAATAACGAAAATGCTTATATTAAAAATGAATAAAAAATCTTTAATGATCATTTATAATCATCTAATATTTAATTAAACAATAATTTTAATAAAAATTAAATATCATTATCATAATAAAATTATAATTTTAGGACAAATGCTATAAGTTTTGGGATTCCAGATATTTTAACAGCTGAATAATTAGAATAATAAACACTTATCAATAAAATAGAATTAAGAAAGCCTATTTAATTGGAAAATGGCGCAATTTATATAGGTTAATGGAGAGGAAATATGAGAGAAGGATATGGCACTTAATATTGGTAAATAATATAATATTAATTAATTCATATTTATTTATTTATAATAAATTAAAAAGGCCAGATGGTGCTAAATATGAAGGTTTTTTTTAACTATTTTTTTTTTTAAATTATTCTTAAAAATAGGGGAATGGAAAAATGATAAAGCAGAAGGGTATGGGTATTTCACACATTCAGATGGTGATGAATTTATGGGTATTTTTACAATTTAATTAGACAAATAAATAAAAAAGGGTAATGGATTAATGATAAAGCGAATGGAAATGGAACTTATAAACATAAAAACGGGGCTGTTTACGAAGGATAATGGAAAGATGATTTTTAAGATGGTTATGGAGTCGAAACATGGTTTTCTTATTTATTTAATTTTTTTAACTAAAAAAATATTTAGTTTTTTTATTTTTATTTTAGGGCCGAAGGTTCAAAATATGAAGGATATTATAAGTAAGGTAAAAAAAATGGAAAAGGGAAATATTAATGGGCAGATGGTTCCCTATATGAAGGGAACTGGGAAAACAATTTATTACATGGATATGTAATTTTAAAAAACATAAAATATAAAATATTATAAAATAAACTAAAATATTATATAATATAATATAATAAATAAAAATATAATATAATAAAATATAAAAATTATAAAATGTAAAAAAGGGCGTTTATTAATGGAATGACGGAAGAAAATACGAAGGTTTTTTATTTTTTTTTTTAAAAAAATATATTTTATATATATATATATTACATACTTAAAAAAAAGGATACTGGAAACATAATAATATGCACGAAAAAGGAAAATATTCATGGTAAGATGGAAGATTTTATTCTGGTGAATATATGAATGATAAAAAACATGGATTTGGTATTTATTAATGGAAAGGTATTCTTTTTTATTTATTTTATATTTAATATATATAATATATATATATATATATATATATATATATATATATATATATATTTTTAAAACTAAAAAGATGGAAAAAGATATGAAGGTTTCTGGTGGGAAGGATAGTAGCATGGAAAAGGAAAATACGTATATACAAATGGCGAAATTAAATATGGATTGTTTTAAAATGGTAAAAGAATTTAATTTATAAATCAAGATAAATACGAATAGTTACCTGATTATCCTCTTATTATTTCTAATAATTAAAATGAATTGAAACAAAGTGTTATTTAAAATGATTTAAATAATAATACTGAAAGTATTAATTAAATAGAAAAACAAAGCAATAATTTTCTTATGCAATCTTCTTGCAAAAGTAATCTTAAAAATAGTAAAACTTCACATAATAATAACTAACTTTTAAGTATAATTAAATAATGATCAAAATAAAAAAATATAATTTTCTTACAAAAAATAAAACTTTATTTATAATAAAAAACTAAAAAAAAGATAGAGATATAAACAGCAAACAAGTTTTATTTTTATTATTTTTTTCATTAAAATTTTATAATTAAAAACAAGAAAATACCATCTTGTACTTTTCTCTTAAACCTATTATTCTCTTCTATTTCACAGTTTATTATAAACTAATATAAACCACCCCCCCTTTTTTCATATTATCTCCTATTAGCCTAAATACCTTACTTTATTTTATTTTATTTAATAACAAAGAAATATAAACATAAAAAAAATGCCATCGAAGCCATTCAAAAAATACCAATCCCATGCTTTTTAGCGTCTCTAAAATCTTTTTATTATATTTTTCCAAACAAAAATACAGTCCCTTAAATATTATTTTTTAGAAAAATCCTTATTAATAAAGTTCATGTATTCTGCTAATAAAAATTACCTTTTGTAATTTTTTCTATTAAAATTTATATATGTATCCATTATTAAATTAATATGGTCTTAATTAGTGCAATTTTTTATCTTAAAGATATATAAATTTTCCTTATTATTTTCAATATAATTTTATTTTCTATTTCATTTACTACATTTGGGTTTTTTATATCAGAATTATGTATTTTAATATTTATTTTATTAAGGAGTAAAACTTTCTTGTGAAAATTTTGATTTTATTTATTAACAAAATTTTCATCTGATAATTTTTTTTAGATTTTAAATTTGAATCATTTTCGACTTTTATAAAATATATTATATAATTTATTTTAATTGCTAAATTTTCAACTTCATTTGACTCAGAATCTTTATTATTTGGGTTAAATATATTTTTTAAAAACTATATTTAATCTATTTATTCGTTATTGAGAGTTAAAAAAATACAATATTGAAATATTTTTTAACTATATTCTATTATTTATATTTCTTTTATCAATATGAATAAAAAAATTATTTTTTTTTATTAAAAAATTTTGAATTAACTTGAAAAATAATTTAAGAATTTTATTAATATTGGCATACGTATATATTTAAAATTAAATATTTTGTCTTGTATTAAATAATTTTAATTTTATTTTATTTTAGAATTAAGATTATTTAAAATATTTATAAATAAGGATAAATAGAAAAAAATTAAAACATATATATTTAGATAAAATCGTTAATTTTAAAAATAAATAAATAAAATTAATTACAAATATTAATTATTATTAAAATAAAACATAATAAATTTGTAAAAAAAAAAAAAAGGAATATTTAAAAATTTTTAAAAAATAAATAAATATTAAAATATTGAGAAATTTAAAATAATAGTTTTTCAAATCTTTTTGTATATTTAAACTATTCATTTATTACTATTTTTATTTTAAATACATTCCAATCATATGTTAAATGGATTATATATTATGTAAAATATCATATACTATTTTTTCCATCCTTTTTTTATGATCTATATTAATATTTTTTTTATTTAATTTTGATGTAATACCTGTTTTTTTTAAAAAAAATATTTTAATATTATAAATTCAATTTTATTATAATATCTTAATTTTTTTTTTATAATACATATATATATAAAAACAAATAAAGTTTTAATAGTTTAAAAAAGCAAATAAATAATTAATTCAATAATAATTTTAATTATAAAGCAAATTTTAATTATCTTAATCATCTTCAATATTATCATAAAAATGCTTTTTATTTTAAAGAATCCTTGGTCTAGAAATAAACTTAACTTCCTTTTTTTAACCAAAGCATAGACAAGAAAATAAATAATAAAATATAAATAAGAAAACACAAAATAAAATAGTAACCACAAAAGGTCCTAATTACTAAAGAATAAGTCTAAAATGTAATATATAAGAATATTTTTAATCTTTAAGTTAATTTTTATTATCTAAACTTACTTCTATATTAACAAGTTTTTTAATTTCTTATATTTATACTTTATTTTCAGTTTTTTCGATTTTTTCTATATTTTCATTTAATAATTTCTTCTTTTCCATTTCAATTTATTCATTATGTTAATTTACAATATTTTATATACTTTCTTTCTTTTTAAAATTAAAATTTATTTCTTCATTTTCAAACATACATCTTTAATTAATAAATATTTATACTTTAGATAAGCTTCTTTATCCTTCAAATCTACATTTTTTATTCAAACCTTTATTAAAATAAATTAATGTGGGATATATTTCTATATTAAAAGAATTGCAAATTTCATCATTCTCAGGACAATCTATAGTACCCATTAATAGATTCTTATCTTTTTTCTCACTTAAATTTTCAAAAATAGGTGCAAATTTTTAACAATGTGGACACCAATTTGCGTAAAACATTATAAATGAATCTTATTTTAATATTTTATTTCCGATTCCAGTTAATTTAACGAAATTTTCACTATTTAACTCTTTTATGTTTTTTGCATTTTCAAATGTATGTGAATTTATTTATATTGTTTTTAATAAAAATACTAGACCTTATAATATAATAGTGATTTTTATCTACATTTTTTGTTTTTTTTCAAATTTAAATAAGTGTTTATTTTATAGATATTTTACTTTATTATTTATAAAATAATAATAAATTTAAAACATATTTTAGTTTTGTAATATAAATTAATTAATAGTTTGATAATAATTACTATTTAATGAAAAATAAAAAAAAACCTACTTTATGTAATATTTTTTTATCGTATTTTATATATAATTAGGAAAATTTGATAATATACGCAATAAATTGTATTTTTATTTCTATTAAATATAACAAATTTCTTTACTTTTTTAATTAATTTAATATAATTATTTTTTGTTTACTTTTTGTTTAATTTTAAATGTGTTAGTTTTTTATAATAAATATCAAATTTTAACTTTATTATTTTATTTTATTTAAACTAATTAAAAAAAGAAAAAACAATAAATAATAAAGAAAAAATAGATTATGGCCTTTTTCTTCTTTGATCAAATTTTTTTTAAATAAAAATATATAAAAAAAAACCATTCAAAAAAGTAATATAAACAAAAAAACTATTCTAAAAATTAATATAAATAGAATCATATTAGAAATTAATATATATATAAAATGATGTATCATCTAAATTAAATAAAAAAAACAGTAATTTTATAAATTTATAATTATTTTTAATATCCTTTTGCTTTATTTTATGTTTTTTTATTTAAAAAAAATACTTATTAAGAATTTTTATAAAATTTATTTTATATATGAGTTTTTAATTTATTACTCATTATATTATTATTTTTAATATTTTCATATAAATTTTTATTATATTTATTTTTCTTATTTCTAAGTATTAATATTAATTGAATATTTTTTTTAATAAAAGTATAAAATAATACATGATTTTGTTTTTAATTTAATTTAATTTTTTTAAAAAAAATCTTCTCTAATTAACTAAACAAATAAAATTCTTATAAATTAGCTAAATTATATCCTTAAAAAAAAAAAAAAAATTAATTAATTCATATATTTATTCATTTTTATTTTATTTACTTTCACTTCTACCCATTTATACTGATTATATTTTTAAAGAACCTTATTATCTTTATCTATAATGGTTAAATACATCTAAAAATCTATAATGATTAAATAAATCTAAAGATGTATTTTTATATTATTTTATCCCTAAAAGAGCTTCGATTTTATTATTGATCTTATAATTAATTATTTTAAATTAATTCGGAAAATTTCTTTCAATTTTTTTTTTTTTTTTTTTCTTTCTTTTTTATAAACTTATTTTATGGTTTTTAATTATATAAATTTTAACTTTTTTCTACTTAAAAATTAACATTTTTTTAAAATAAAATTATTAATTTTATTTACTTATATATATATATTTATATATATATATATGTAAATTTTAATATTTATACACAATATATATATTTCATTTTCTTTTCAATTCCTATCACTTTATTTAAATTATTCAAATTGGATTTTCAAGTTTTTTAAATCTTCAGTTTTATTAATTATTTCTTTATTTCTTTTACTAAGTTCAATTAAGTTTTTTTCGAAATATTTAAAAGTTATTCTTTATCTTGAATTATTTAATTAAATTCTTAACTTTATAAGGTAAAGCTTTATTTTAATTATTAAAGTTCTTAATTTAAAATATTAATTTATTATTATAAATTATTTATTTCATTATTTTTGTTTGATAATTCTTGATTTAACCTATTTTTTATTTTTCTTTTATATATAATCTTATTTTTTACTTTTTTATTTCTTCACTATAATAATTTTTTAATTCTTATTATTAAATTTCGAATTATTAAATATTTTATTATAAAGATTTATTTATCTATGTTTACTCTTGTGTATATTATTAAATTTTTTAAATCTTAAATTCATTATATTCAACAGTTTAATTATTCTCCTCAATAATATTTTATAGTTATTCGTTTTCTTAAATAAGGATTTTTATTTTATTTTCAAAATCTTTTAAAAGATTTAAACTTTAACATTTTTATTAGCAAATTTCATTTAATTTATTATTTTCTTAAATTAATAATTACATTTGATTTTCTATTTCTTATATATATTATTCCTTAACAATATAAAATAATATAATTTTTTTATTTTTTATTTTTTCTATACATTTTTTGCAATTTAATTATTTAATAATAAATTTTTTTATTTAGTTTCATTTAATTACTTTTCTTATTCTTAAATTATAATGTTTTTTTAAGCAATTACAATATTAGACTTTAAAAAATTTTCATTTAATGAATTTATTTTTAGTGTTAATAATTAAATATATTTTTCTTAGTTTTCCGAATAAATAATACTATCATTTTTATTTAATAAATTATTATTTTACTTTAAATAATTTTCTTTTGAACTGTATTCATTTGATTATTATCTAAATTTATCAGTTATTTCAAAATTTAAATTAGTAAAACTTTTATTTTTTAATTTTTCTGAGTTTTTAAGTTTTATATTACTTATTAATTTAAATTTTCTTAAATACTCATTTTTTATTAAGCTAAATTTTGTGAAAATGTAATACTTTAAATCTTTTAATCAATTTATCTTATTGTCCTTATTGAGTTATTATTTTAATTTTATAAATTTTTAGGACTAAAAGATGTTTTGCTTAAGAAATTGGGGATAGGAGATGGTTTTAACATTTTATTTTATAATTAAAAATAGTTGTTATAATTGAAATAAAAAACTAAAAGATTTTATATATGTAAAAATATAGTGTTAATATATTTTTAAATATAAATTATTATTAATTGTATATTTTTTTTTAAATAAAAAACAATTAATAATGAGATAGATACTTATCTTTAAAATTTATATAATTTTAAACTTATTAAATTCAATATATATTAGTTTATATTTTGTTTTATATTAGAAAAAATATATATATAAATAATAATAAATTTTAAAAATTAAATTATATTTAATCAAAAAAAAAAAAAAAAAAAAAAATAACTTTTTTTTTTATATTAAAAATGGAAGGATTTGATTCTGAATTAAAAACTTATTTTTATAATATAAAAAATGAAATCAAAAGTGAACACTAATAATATATATAAAAACATCCTGAACTCCGAGAATTATTAAATGATTTTTTAACAAACATAATGTTAGAAAAGCCCCAAAATGTATATGAATATTGTAGAGAATTTTTTTCATTTTACAATATAGATAAAGATAAAATAATTTTCGATCCATTAATAATTTCTGGTCCTTCTGGTGTTGGAAAAGTAATATAATATAAATTTTTATATCTTTAATTATTATTTTAAAAATAAAATATTATAGGGAACAATAATAAAATAATTATTAAAAGAATATCCTAATATATTTGATTTTTCAATAAGTTATACAACAAGAAAAGCTTAATAGAATGAAACTGATGGTATTGAATATTTTTTTGTATCAAAAGAAGAGTTTGAAAAAGTTCTATTTTTTTCTAAAAAAAAAAAGAAAGTTAAATTTAAAAATAAAAAAAATAGGAAATTAGAAATTAATCTTTTATCGAATATTGTATATTTTAAGGTGAATATTATGGTACTCATAAAGGAAAATTGTAATCAATAATATAATCCTAAAAAGTATATTTATTTTGATAAAAATAGAAAATATTTAATTATTATTTTTTATATAAAAAAAAACAAAAAAAGATTGCAATCTTAGAAATTGATATTGAAGGTGCGAAAAAAATTCATAAATAAAACCCTGAATGGAATTATATATACTTAATTCCTCCAGATTTATAATAATTAGAATATAGATTAAAGTAATTAATGCTATTTTAATATTTAAAATATATAATAAATAGGTAATAAAATTTAGAAGAAGAAATTTATAAATCAAGAATGTAATCTGCAAATTAAGAATTAGAAGACTACAGAAAACTTGGATTTTATAGCACAATTGTAAATGAAGATAAAGATTAATGTATTAAGGAAATAGTTAATTTTACAAAAACTCATTATAGCAAAATATAATTTGGATGATTTTATATTTTATAAATAAAAATATGTTATTATTAAATATACAAATTTAAAATTAATTCATTTATAATAAAAAAATATAAAATATTTATTTAATTATAATTATATTCAACAATAATATAAAAATTAACATCTTTAACAAAAAAAAATCAATAAAACAATAGCATTATTTAAAAAAAAAATTAAATAATAAAAAATATATATATATATATTTCAAAAAGGTCTTTGTCCATAAGGTCTTGGAGGTAAAACGCTATTTTTTGATTAAGGAGTTGGTAATTTGCTAGGTAAAGGAGGTTAATTATATTTATAATTTAACTAAGGTTTCGAATTTTCATTTACAAAATTTCTATTATTTTCATTAATTCCTCTTTCTTATGAGTTTCTAGATTATATTCTATCTCTTGAATATTACTTTAAAAAATAAATAAATAAAATAAATATATATATATATATATATATAAATAATACTCTATTAAGTTATTTTTATTAATCTTAATTTTACTAATTATAATGATAATTATTATGATTTTACTTCTAATAATCATTAATAGGTGGTAAATAATTTTTTCCTTAATAAATTCCATCATTACTCTAATATCTTTTCATTCCAGCAGCAGGTTAAGCTGATAATTATCTTTATTTAGTGACTACAATATTTGGAGAATTATAATTATAATTATTACTATTTTATTATTATACATTATTTTATTTCTAACTCCCTTATTATTATTAATAATTTTAAACTTATTTTGATTATTATTATTAAACTACTTATTATTATTTCTAAGCACTTCCTGAAACTACAGCCGAATGAGGTCTACTTCCTTATGTATATTAAGTTTTTTTTTCTGATTTATATTCTTCTTATTTAATTTATTCATTACATTCATAAGCTGCCTTTGGTAATTTCATATTTATTCCTTTTAAATTTCCTCCAAAAGGTAATTTTATAGTTTAAAGAAGTTCTTATTTTTCAGCTTGAAATTTTTCCTTTTACATTTTTGAGAAAAGTTCTTAATCCACATATTTTTAAATAAATGGATTTTTTATTAAATTTTCTACATTTTCTCTTGATCTTGGGTTAACCTTTACACAACAATCAATAAACCTTTACAAATCAAGGCTGAATTTTTACAAATTAATAGGTTAATAAATCCCTCTTAGTACTTTTTTATACAAATCTTCCATAGAAATACCCTTAAAAGGTGGCTCAAGTGTCGTAATTTCATACAATACACATCCAAAAGACCAAACATCACATTTATAATCATATTTTTAATTTTGCCAAATTTCTGGAGCCGTATAATAAGGAGTTCCAGTTTAAGTAATAGCAAAATCCTATTTAGAAACTTTCGAAACATTCAAATCTCCTAACTTCAATGACCCATCATCCGCAATGAAAATATTGGCCCCTTTTAAATCTCTATGAATAATCTTTTTATCATGTAAAGCTTTTATCCCTATCAACATATCAGCTGCATATTTCCATATTGTTTCTTCATCAAAAAACTATTTTTTTTTCTTCTTATCATTAATTAAACCTAATAAATCTCCTTTTGATGCAAACTCCATTATTATGCATAAAAAAGAAGACTAATCATCATAAAATGCGTCTTTATATTTTATTACATTTTAATTTTTTAAAGATGCCAATATTCGAATTTCATTTAAAGCATTTTCTTTTTCTTTTGTTGATAGTTATAACATCTTTACTTTCTTCATAGCGTATATCTTTTAGTCGCTTTTTCTTTAAACTTAATATACAGATCCAAATGAACCTTCACCTAAACGTTTTAATATTACGAAATCATCTAACTTTGACATTTTCTGATTTGTTTTTTGTGTTTTTATTTATTTATTTATATATATATATATATATATTTATTTAATCACAAAAATCAAATACGATAAATAATAGAAAATATATATATATGATAATATATATTAAAATATATATATAATTTATAATTTTATTATTAAAAAATAGAAATTTAAATTTTTTTTTAAATTAAATTAATTATTTGAAGCTTTTTCATTTTTTTTGCTATTTGAAATTAATCATATTATTTTCTTTTCATTATTTAAAATTTAATTTTATCTAAATTAAAATTAATTTTTTTATAATCGTGAAATGATATTACATATATATAAATATCAATAAATATATCTATTTAAAATATAAAAAATTCAATATATATTTTCAAATAATTCAAGCAAAAATATATATTATAATAATAAAAAATAAGTCTATCTAATAAATATAATAATTAATTTTTTTTTAAAATAAAATTAAATAAAAAAGTATTATATAATTTATATATTATTTGTCTAAAAAAAATTAAAAAAAAACTAATATATAAATAATAAAGATTTCATTAATTTTTAATTTAAATATTTTCCAAACAATCAATAGCTTCCTTAATTAATTATTTACCTTTCTCCAGATTATATTAATTAACTTAACTAATGGCATTTTCGCATAGTTTTATAGCCTTAGATTTAATAACACCAGTTCCTTTAATTCCGACCTTAACTATTTCATTAGCTTCATTTTATACTTTTAAGTTTTGTAATTATTTTTAAAGCTATTATTGTTTTTAAATTTCTTATTGTTTTTAAAGTTCTAATTAATTTTATACCTCTTATTATTTTTGAAGTTCTAATTATTATTATTACATTAACTGTCTTTTTTTTTGTTCTTCTTATAATTAAATTATGTCTTTTTATTAACCCATAGAAATATCAAATCCAGGTGTTCCAAAATTATCATTTTCAAAATTTTTCATTTTTTAGGATTAAAAATTGATATCTCCTCCACTAGTAATGTTATCGCTTTAAACACTGAAATCATTATTTAAAGGAATTAAAGGAGGTTATATTTATTTATTATGAAAAATGCTTACAATTTAATTATTTTATTATTATGAAACTTTTGAATCTTATACAAATTAAGGTTATTAAGTTTATCCAACTTATGTTTGTTTCGGAGTTTATAAATATATACCTTTTTCTTGATTATATTTTAGAATTCTATTTATAGATTCATTATCATGTTTTGTTATTTAGCTCATAGCTAGTTTACTTTAAATAGAGTCTTAGTGTACTTATATATTTTAGTTGGATCCAATAACTTAATCATTAAAATTTTGATTATTTATATTTTATTAGCAATTATTATTTTGACTTTAAACTTAAGGATTTTAAAAATTACTAAAATTTACTTATTATAGCTGTTATTAAGTTGAAAAAGAAACTATTTTATAAAAATAAATATAAATATATATATATATATATATATATAATATAATATATATTTATTTATTTTTACTTGAATCTTTAATTTAAGGTTTTTACTAAATTAAATGTGGATTCTAAATGAAATTTTAAATTTGATTTTATTTTTATTAGCAATCATTAACTTTTTTTTATATATAAAATAATTTTAATAATAACATATTTTTTTTTACTTAATTATATTATATCATTTCCTAAAGGACCAAATGTTTGTAACATTTCAAAACATTTTTATGCCATAAAAAAATTTTAAATTGTATCATTTATATATTCTTAGTTTTAGAATTATTGTTAAGCTTTATTGTAAATATTGGTTGTTATGTATTATATTACTTATTGCTTATTTTTTTCAATTGAAAATAATTATTGCCCTAAACTTTATTTTGTAATTTCTAATTCCTAAAGCCACTTTTTTAATATATCACAAAATTATTTTTATTAAGAATCATTTTAAGCCTTTTTCTATTTATATAGTTCATTTAATTTCTCACAAGCAAATCTTCTTAAAAAAAATGATAAAATTTAGTTTTCTCCTTAAAGTTTTTAAGATAAGACATTAAAATTAGATATGTTTTGTATTTCTATATTATTTTACATTTTTATTTATTTGATTTTTTTTTACTATTTATTATAAAAAATATTTATTTTATATTTATCATCAGATTTTTTTTTTTTATAAATAAAATAATACTCTATTTTTTTTTTTCTATAAAAAGAATTAATTGTTATAAAATTACATATAATTTAATATATATATATATATTATAGTTTTATTTATATTACATATAATTATCTGATTAATAAAATTAATAATATAAATTTTTATTTATTATTATTAAAAAATTATAATTTATATTTATTAAATGAAAATAATTAAATAATATATTTTTTTACCTGAAATTAAAAATAAAAATATAAAAAGAATATTTAATAATAAATATTTATTATTATTAATATAAAATATTAAAATAATAATATAAAATTTAAAATGCTTAATAAAATAAATTATTTTTGTTAAAACATATAAAAGATAATTAGTTATATATAAAATATTTTAATTATTTAAATAAATATTATACAATTTTTTATATAAAAAATAAATAAATCTAGTTTTTTTTATTTTATTTTTATAATAATATAATATATTTTTATTTTTAATTCTTTGTATTCAATAATTTTAAATCTTTTAAATTTCTAATTCTTTTTCGAATCTCCTTCAAAATAATAATCTTAAAATATTTTTTTCTGAAAATAAGCCTTTTTGAGAAGTAGTGATGAAACATATTAGCTTTTAAAATCATATAATTTTTTTTTTTTTAAATAATTATTTAAAAAACTTCTTATTTCTTATAAAAGTTTTCAAAACATTTTTATTTATGAATTCAAATTTAAAAGAAATTGTTTTTAATATTTTATAATTATAAGTTGATTAGACTTTTTTAAATGTAATAAAATATATTTTTATAGAAATATAATATTAAAAATAAATAAATATTAATAAAATATATTTATATTAATTGATTTCTAAATATATTTAATTTAATAACTAAATATTGAATCGATCAATATTTATTATAGCGATTAAATATAATTTTAAACAAAATGAATGAAAAATTATTTACATTTTACATAAAAATATATATACATTAAAAAAAATTTTTTTTTTAAAAAAAATTAAATTAAAATTGAAACAAACGAAATCATAAAAAAATATAATAAAGTAATAAAATAAAATATTACATAAAAATATAAATAAATATTTATTTTTTTTAAAAAAAAAATTAATTATAAATGATAAATGATCACGATGAAGATAGCCAAAATCAAGTTAATTCTAATTTAAATCAGGAAATTATTTCTCCATTTTCTCCTAAACGATAATAAAGTTGGGGAGGATCTTATTCTAAAATAATAGCCGTAACATTAATAATACTAACATTAATTTAATCTTTGATCCAATCTGGATCTTTTCCTTATTTAGCGAAATTACCATTAGACCACTCTTATGTTATTTTGAATTGGAAAACTGAGCCAATAACCGAAATATACACTAGTAAATAAGGTTGTAACGAATATTTAATAAACTACAAATTTCCAGGAACATAAGAAGGCTGTGACTGTTCTGATTCTTAAAATCCCCTATATTAAAATAAATTAATTAAAGCAAAATGCACAGGATAATAAATATAAGACAATTGTAAAAAAATATACCCTATATAATCCAAAGTATTTCATTATTGGAATATTGGAGAGGAAAAATTTGAAATGTGTGTTTAAAGGGCAACTGGATTTAATTATATAAAATCTGATTGCAGTTAGAAAGAAGTAAAATAATGCGGAGGAACACTAATGCCGTTTTGTATTCCTACAAATTATAAATGCCCTTTAAATTCTGTCCAATATGGCCCCAATTCTCCCAATGACCAAGGATATTAAGTTATTTAAAAATTTATAAATGGCGATATTTTGTTCGCGAGCTAATATGCTGATTCTAATCTTCCTCTAGTTTTAGGAATTATAAGTGAAGGAGACGGAGTATGCAAATATTATAAAGAAAAGGATAATTTAACTGAAAAAAGAGATGAATATTTTCTCTTGAATAAATTCAAAAGCGGATGTATAGAAGAAAAAGACTAAACATTCATCAAAGTAAAATAAATAGATGAATAAACTTTATTTTAGGCTAATTCTTATGACGTGGAAATGCTTAAACTTTCACAATTCGAATTTAATTCGAATAATCTTTACGGATTTTACACAAAAAGCTATATTCCTTGGAAATAATCAGGCGATTGTAGGAATAAATATATGTAAATTTTTATAAACCTTGAAGATTAGATTTTACTCATTAATAATTTATGGATTACAAGTATTGCCTTGAATTGGTTTTTACTTATTTTAATAGGATTAATAGCCTCTTTTTACAGAATAATATATTATAAAAGAATAAAAAATTACTATGTAATTATTACTTGGATTTTTATACTTGGTTAATTCATTATAAATTTATATACTTTTTCAATAGTTATTATTCTGAATTAAAATCTTGAAAAAATGTCGGTTTTAGAATGTTCAGATTATAACACAAATTAATATTTGATTGAATTTTTCAAAGATTTCAAAAATTAAAATCTTCCCTTTTAAATAGTCTTATTTATCCTTTAATTTTTTTAAATTCTAATTCCAATCTTTTTTTTCAAAACTATATTTGAATGGACTATTTAATGTGATAAAATATTTAAAATCTTTAATATTTTCAGACAAAAAAAGAAAATTGAAGACAAAACTTGTGAAAGAGACTAAGATAGTGAATAAGCGAAAAATATTCCTGGAAAAAAAATAATAGTGGACGACCCGACTTAAATAAAAAACAACATTTTATAATAATAAAGGAACAAAAAAATAAGTTTAAATGAAGAAGTAAATACTCCTTTAACTCCTTTATAATAATTAACAAACAATGTCATTCTTATTCATAATAATAACGATTAGGGAGAAAAAATATTTAAAAACGTAAAAAAAAACAAGTAAAATTTGATAATGGACTATAAATGACAAACTTCGAAGAAAGTCCTTAAAAACAAAAAAACCTCTCATAACAATAATAAATTGTACTCGATAATACCGAATATTAATTAAAGTAATAATAATTAAAATAAAGACATGAAAAAAACAAAAAGAAAATAGCTTCAGCATAAGAAATGGTCGAAAAAATTAATTCTCCATAACTAATGAAGGCAATAAAAGAAGAAAATGAGATTTTAGAATAAACGTCTAAAAATAAAATTAATACATTAGAAAATTAAAATAAATAAATTGTAAAAAATAATCAAAATGAAGCACAAATTACATTTAATGATCTTAATTAAAACTAATTAGAATAAAATAATTTAGAATAGCCTACATTAAACAATTTAAATAATTAAGAATAAAATAATAATCAATAATAATAATAGAATGGAAAATTTAATCCAAATATATGCAAATCTAATACTAATTTTGATTCAAAATTAAGTGCTAATAATCCTGTTAAAAGCAACGTTTTTATAAAAGGTGCCGAACTCATGTTTAAAAATTCTAATCCTCTTACTGATTTATAATACTATTTGTAAAAAGGAAATAATTTAGAAAAAAAAGTTGGAGAAATTAAAGATAAATATAATGCTAAATCTATGAACTAACTAGATAGTAATTTAAATAACAATCCTTAGTTTGAAATATAAGATGATGAAGATTATGGAGATGCTAATAATTTTAATATTGAGAAAAAAACTAATACTAGAATCGGAGGTGGTTTCAGAATTCCAAAACCATAAGAAAATAAAGAATAATAACAGAAAAATAATAAAATGATCTAAAATCTAGTAGGAAATGATTCAACTAATAATAATAATATTTGAACAAAAAAAAATATAAAAAATAAATAATTTAATATTTATATATATAAAATAATGCTATTTTTACATTTTATCATTTTTATTAAATTAATTTAAGTTAAATTGTAAAGAATTTAAATAATTTTTATTTTAAAAATTAAAATAATTATAATATAAAATGATAAAAAATTTTTATTATGTATTAATATAAATCTATATTAAAAATTTTAATAAAAAATAAAATATAAATTTTATCTATATTAATTATATTTATATATTGTATGATTATATTTTATTGATTTTATTAATATAAATATATAGTATATATTTATTTATTTATATTATTTATATATTTTATTTTTTATTTTTGTCTTTATTGAATTTTAAACTGAATTGTTAATATTTTTTTCAATTATATTTATATACCCAAATATATTAATTAATACATTTATTTTAAAATTATGATAATTAAATTAAATGTATTTAAATATTTTTATTTTCATTTATTATTATAAAAATATATTTTATATACTATTCTTTATTTATAATTTTTTTGCTTGTATAAATAATATAAATATATATCTATAAATATATATTTATAATTATATATGATATATAAATTTCATTAAAAAAAAAATCATATATTATAACAAATAAATGTCAAATAAGAAAACTTAATTATAATTTGATTATTCAAATTGTTAGATGCACATATAATTAACTAAAAGAAAATTTCTATAAAATAAATTAATGCACATTTTTGTTGATAAAAATAATCTTATCATAACAAATGTATAATTAGAAAAACAAAAATTTATAAATCAAAATAAAATAAATAAAACAAAAATATAAAAAACAAAAAAGGAAGCATATCAAAAAACTCCATCAAAAATATTATAAATAAAACTTTAAGACTGTGTTTAATGGTAATTAAATAAGTAAGCATAAACACTTGAGTACAACGGTTTTAAAGTATTAGAAAGATAACCCGACGGCTCCACAAAAATCACCGAGTTTCGAGGATAACATATAATAATATAATAATTAAAAGATTACTTATGCAAATATGTATTTTAACATCATTTTTAAGACGAATATGAAATATTAGCCTAAATAGGTAAAGGGAACTATGCACGTGTAAAAATAAAATAAAAACAAACAAATAAGCAAGCAAAAAAAGGTATTTTCAGCTCGTCATAGAATAACAAATTTTAAAATAGCTGTAAAATGTTTTTCCAAATCAAAATTAAAGCAATCTGCAAACGGATTAGTATAATAAAAAAAATAAAAAAAAATAAAAATAAATAAAAATAAAATAAAAAAAATAAACAAAAAAATAAAAAAAAACAAGTAATCACTTTATAATGAGGTTAAAATTCTTTAAAGCCTAGGAACTCATGAAAATATTATCTAATTTATAGGTTGCTATGAGGGCAAAAAAACATATTATATAGCTTTGTAAATATTGGAAGGTATTACTTTGTATAATTTAATAAAGAAAAACCGAGAATATCATAAATTTTAACACGAGAAAATCTAATAATATATGATCTAACTGTTAAATGGAATTAAACATATATAAGAAAGAAAAATAATGCATAGAGATATAAAACCGGAAAATATAATTTTTAAAAATAGCAATATATAAGACAATTTAGTTATTGCAGATTTTGGACTAGCTGATTTCGAAGATTCTAAAGCATTTATTTTTAATAAATGTGGAACTCCTGGTTATGTAGCACCTGAAGTAGCAAATTATTAAGAAAAAGTAGACACAAAATATACTTCTATTTGTGATATGTTTAGTATTGGAGTTATTTTTCATATTTTGTAAAAGAAAAATTTAAAAATATTAAAATATAAATATAAATAGAAAAAATACAGATAAATATATATCTATTAAAATAAAAATAAAAATATATATATAAATATATTTTTTTTTTTTAATATAAAGTTTGCTTTAATAATCAGTTTTTGTAGGTACAAAATTCAATGAAGTTCTTAACTTAAATAAAGAATGCAAAATAGACTTTACATAAAAAATGTACACTGAATTACCAGAAAATGCACTCGATTTATTAAAAAAAATGCTCGAAAAAGATCCTAAACGAAGAATAACTGCATAAGAAGCTCTTAATCATTAATATTTTTAATAATAAAAGTAAAAACCGACTAAGTCATATGATTTTTAAAATACAAGTGAAAGCTTTATAAAAAAAAGTCCAATGAAATAAAAACAAATGAAATTAATGGATTCATTAAAAAATATTTGCAATTTAAAAAAGCATAGCGATAACATAGATGAAGAAAACAAAACACCTAAAGATAAAACCTTGATAAATTCTTAACTTATAATAAGTAACGACTAATTAACCTCTTTTGTACATAATATAAATGGATAATGTTCGTTTAAAAATTCCTTAAGTGATATATCACTTCCATTTTAAAATTTAGACACGAAAAGTATATCAGAAAGTAATCTGCCTAATTAATTAGATAATCCAGAATAAGGAAATTAATAAGGTTTATTTTATAAATAAATAAAATTTAATATTAAAAAATTAATTTTTAAATATAAAAAAAATATAAATATAAATATAAAAATAAATATAAATATAAATATAAATATAAATATAAATATATATTTATATATATTTATTTCTATATTTATATATATTTATATTTTTATTTATATTTATAATTTTTTTTACATATTAATTTATATTTATATTTTTATTTTAGTTTATAATTTAATTCTCAATCCTGTTAAAGAAGAAGAAGAATAAAGTCTTGATTCTCCTTCTATCAATAAAAAAAGCAAAATTAAAACTTCACCTAGTATCTTCAAAATTTAAAAATAATAGTAAAATAGTAATTTTGTTTATGGTTTAGAAAAAATTCCTTACAAAGATGTTGAAGATAATATTGAGTAAGATTATATTTAAGATGATGTCTAATGATATTTTTAATTTTTTTTTCTAATTTTTTTATTATATATATGTATAATTATACTTTTATAATATTAACTTTTTTTTTTTTTTATATAAAAAACATTTTTATTTTTTCAATATATTATTGTATTTTAAATAAAAAAATATAATTTTTTTTTTTTTATTAAATTTATATATATATATATTTATATATTTAAAATATAATTATAAATTAATTTTTTTTTTTCAATATTAAACTACATCATATGATATTTATTTAGAATGCAAAAAATTTAAAATAAGTAAAAGTTTAATTTATTAACTAGAAGAATTTCTTTTAAATATTTTTATTTCAGGAAAGATTTATGATATATGTGCTAGAGTGACACAAAAGTTATCAAAATTGCACCCTGAAAAATATTTTTATTCCAATAAAAAATCCGCATAAGAGTTAATAATTTTATGGTTACTTTCATTTGCGCCTTCAACCCACATTAAATAATATAATCTATCATAATTTCTTTTAAAGACCATCTTTTTTTTTTTAACAAACAAACAAAAAAACTTTACTTTCAATAACTAATAAAATAAAATAATAAAAATACTTTTTTATAATAAGATATTGCTTTTTCATATCCTAAAATATTAAAAGTTTATTTCCCATTCTCAAATTCAAACTAAGGCAATAATTAAATAGCAGTCCAACTATCATTAGTCAATATTCTTACTTCTGGAACTGGAGTCACAACTTATGAATTAATTTTAGTCAAATGTATTTTTCCTTTGTAAATCTTAAACAAGAGAAATATATAAATTAATTAAAAAAAAGTTTATAGTTTATATTTCTTACTCTAAAACAATTATCTCCATTACTTTTATTAAGTAGTAAATTTTATTTTAGAGAACAAAACAAATTCATATTTTCATAGTATGCTTTATATAAACATGTATCATTATCATCATAAACAACAAAATTTTTAAAAGAAGATTTATATGAGGAAATCAAACTTTCTAGTGTATCTTACTTTTTATTATTAGAATTAATTCCTAGTATTTTTTTTTCGAGTTCTTTTTCAAAAGCTTTATTTTAAATGATATCTTCAAATTAAGCGTCATATTTTTTCTTTGTTTTGTTTTTTTCAGATTAAGTATCATTATCTTTTACAATTATAAACTTTTATTTTTTAAATATCTCTTAAGCATTTATTTATTCTCTATTTATTTTTCGCTCTTCTATTATTATTACATCTCTTGAATTATTTCTTTATTAAAATTTTAGTGTTTTTTCAGTTTATTTTTTCTTTGGATTATCAGAAATTATTTATAAAGGATCCGCTATTTAATTTTTATCTATAAATGAATAATACTTTATCTTTTTTTAAGGTCTTTATTTTTTTTCAATATCTGAAAACTCATCATCATTATTGTTAATTGTATTTTTGTTATTATTTTGATCATTATGTTATTTTATTTTATTGCTTTATTGTACTATTTATGTTTTATTTCTATATTTTTTTTTTCCTACTTAATTTTATGTTTTATTTATAATTACAATTATATTTTTGGTTTCTGAAATTTTAAAGATTTTTAAGGGCATTAAGATGTTACATGTGCTTGACTTGAACAATAAAAGCAACTTTTTATAAAAATAGATAATAAATAATATTATTTATAGTTTTTTATATTATATACTTTGAATAATTCATATTGTTGTCTTTTATATATATATATTTTATTTTATTTTTTTTAAAAAAAAAAAAAAAAAAAATTAATATTAATAAAATTACTAATAATATTACTAATAATATTCTAGCTATTTATGCTAAAAAAAAGAATAATAAAGATTAAAAAATATTTATTTTTTAATAAATATAATTTAAATAAAAGTTTATATTTATATAATTTCTAATATAATAGAAACTAATTTTACGTAAAATCAAACAAAAATCAGTCCTAATTTATTAAAAACGGTTTTTCATTTGAAAAAAAAAACAAGAAGTTTCTCTGTATCAATTTTTTGAGTTTGAGTTTATTTTTTTTTAGAAAAAAATAAATAACTTCATTTTCATAAGGTATTTATCAAAATGCTAAAATATAATAGATAAATTAAAATAAATAGAAGATTAATTCATTTTTTTATTAGAATAGAAATATTACTTGTTAGTTTTCAAACTCATTTGCAAATATTTATTAAAAACTTTGTTTTAATAAATTTCTGCTTTTTATTTCATTATCCACTAATTTTTATTTTATAAATATCATAAGCTTATGTTGAATTACTAATTTACTCGTCTAAATATCCTCCCTAAAAACAAATATTAAAACTTCATTTTATATATAAAAAAGTGTAAATAATTTCTTCTTTAAAATCAACTTAACTTATTGTTTTTTTGAGTCAAACAAGTCTAAAAAACAGAGAGTTTAATTATTAACTAATCTTCCCAATATATATGAAATTCACCATAATTATAAGTACTTTCTTCACCAAAAGAAAGACTCCTGTTTTTTAAAAGTTTGACTTTTAAAATAAAAGCTTTTCTTTTTGTATTTACTGTAAAATTTTACGATATATATATATATATATATATATATATGATTATATACTATATTTAACAAATTTTATTAATATAAAGAAAAAAATATATAAAAATATTTACTCAAATAAATAATAATAAAATATTTTAAGTTAATATATAAATATTTTAATATACCTTATTGACATAAAATGAATAATATTTAATTAATTTTAAAACTTCTAAAAAATTTATATATTTTTCTATTATTTTTATTCATATTTATCATGTCCAATGTTTTCATTACTTTTTTTAAAAAAATTTTCCGAAAAATGTTCATTTTTTTAATATAAATTAAGCTTCCTTCCTCTTTTAGTATTTTATCAATTTTTATTCAACTTATTATTCAATTTTTTATTCTATTATTTTTAATAACATATCATTTATTAATTTTTTCAAAATCAAATAATATAAATTATTTTGGGGCTTTAATTTTCACATAACCTGTTCGATTTATATTAAAATTTATACAAAATTTATTAATAATATCTTTTATAAATTCACTATCTAAAATATTTTCATTCTAATAACTTAAAATACTGATTCTATGTATCAATTCAAGTATTTATCTTATATATTTTTAATCCACTTCCTCCCATTTAGAAGGTATAATAGTATTAAAAACATATAAGACTAAAAATGAAGCTTTTAAAAATAGTACTTTCCAGAAAATATTTACCCTTTCTCATTTATTAATATTCAAAAATATAATAATTAAATGAATTAGAGATTTTATTTTATTTATCTATTAAAAAAATCAATAAAAAAGGAAAAGGAATAAATTTTAATTTCTAATAAATTTCGGCTTTCTCATTTGCAAGAAAGTTTTCTATTTCAAAATGCAATTGCACTATTGATTATATTTAAAGATTTTTATATATAATAATTTTCATTTTAATCTTATAAATAATATTTTAAGCTTTTTATAAATTATTGAAGTGTTTAATTTATTATGTAATTAACCGCTTGTTTAACGATATAAAGATTTTAAAATCAGTAATATTAAAAGATATAAGATTATTTGGTTCACTTATCAAAAAATTGATTTTTTTTTTTAAAAGGCCGCCATTTAAAAAGTTATTTATGCAAATAGTTCGAAAAAAATACAATATTAAGACCAATTTAGGTAATTTCAAATCGTGTTGAGGTTTAACGGATAGCTAAGCCAATGATAAATAACTATATCTATAAAAATATATTAAAAAAAATTATTTGTACGTTAAAAAAATAAATTAGAAATAAAAAAAGATAATTAGGACAAATTTTCAAAATTTTTTACTTAAATATATATTATATTTTTGTTTATATATTATAAAAATCATAATTAAACTAACTAATAAAATATATTTTATGTGTTTTTATTCTGTTAATAAAATATAATTTTAACTAATTAAAAGTCTTATATAATTTTTTAAAAATATTATTAAAATAAATTAATTACTAAATTATATATATGTTTAGATATAATTTGCAAATAATTAATATAAAAAAATACGATTTTAAAAAATATTTATTATAAATTTATTATTTATAAATTAATATATATATATATATATATATATATATATATATTATATTTATACGAATAACTAAATTAAAATAAATAATGTAAAGCGATAGCAGATATAATATAAATAATATTAAATTTAATATTATATTAAATATTTATTATTTAAAAAGATATTTAAATTTAAAAAAGATATAAAAACATTTTTAATTCAAGAATAAAAGAATTATTAAAAATATTTTAAATATTAAAATAAAAATGTACATAAATAAATTCGAATTTCTTTTAGCCTTACTTGGCGGTTTGCTTATAGCTTTATCAACGACTCTAAATTTATATTTGAAAGGTCGAATAACAGGTATGAGTGGTTTAATAAGCGGTATAATAAATTATAATTAATCTCATTGGAAAATATCCATTATTTCAGGTATTTTAGTAACCACTTGTATATTTTGGTTAATATTTAAATTCGAAAAAATAAAAAACACAGAAACCTACATATTCCCAACTCCAGAATAATAATTAAAAGATTTAAATATATTTGGATTCGCATTAAGTGGTTTTTTGGTAGGTATAGGTACTAAATTAGGTAACGGATGCACAAGTGGACATGGAGTTTGTGGCTTACCTCGTTTATCAATAAGGTCTTATGTTGCGGTATGTATATTTATGATTTTTGCAGTTTTAACATGTACTTTAAGATATTATTTTCCTTTTTGGAATATTACAGAAGGCATAAATGTAATAAAAAAAATAAATTATGATATTTTGATGCCTATAATTTTAGTAATTGTATTAGTTTTTTATATAGTATATTGTTTTTATTATTATAAAAATTTCGAAAAGCCTTAAATTTCTGAATTATTAATAAGTTTTTTAATTGGTTCATTATTTGCTTCTGGTCTTATATTTTCCGGAATGATTAAAAGGGAAAAAATATGTAATTTTTTAACAATTTAAATGGATATATGGGATCCATCTTTAATGATTGTGATGGCCTCGGCTTGTCTACCTAATTTTATTTCATTTCATTATATTTTAAAATAGCCTAAACCTTTATTTTAAGAATAATTTTCAGTACCTCCTAAAGGAAAGGTAGATTTAAAACTTATTATGGGAGCTATTTTATTTGGAATAGGATGGGGTTTCGGTGGTTTATGTCCTGGACCATCTTATGTATCATTTGCAGTATTTTCACCACATATTTCAGTAGTTTTTGTTGGAAGTCTTATAATTGGAAATTATTTAGTTGATAAAATCAATGAAATTAAATAGGAAAAAGTATAAACTGATGAAATTGAACTTATTAAGAAGAAATGAAAGAAAACAAATTTTTGTATTAAATTTAGAAAAAAATAAAAATAAAAAATTAATAATATTTTATATTAAGTGTTAAAATATTTATTTATATAAATATAATAATTATTAATAAATATATAATAATCACTATTACATTTATTATGATATTTTTTATTTTTTATTCTATATTTATTTTTATTAATTATTATTAGGGTTTATATTTTTTTATTTTAAAAATTTTCCATTTTTATCACGTGGCTTTTATTTAACTGCTAGTTATTATTTTTCATATTTTACAGTTGGAATATTGCTTCTATTTTATTTTTTTCGAAGATATTTTTATATTTTTAATCTCCTTTCTGCAAGATTTAAAGGTCCGATTTTCTTTGTATTTTATTATATATACATATTCATAATTTCACTTTAATTATTTTAATCTTAATAGTTTTTCCTATCGATTTTATGGACAAAATTTAGGAGTTTTTTACGCTTTTCTTAAGGTGCAGATTTATAAAATTCAATCATTTATTTTATATTATTAATGTCAACATAACTTAAATTCTATGTATTATTTAAAAATGATAAGTTATTTAATTATTATAACATTTAAGGATTATCTTATTCTTTCTAATTGTTAATATCATTATTAATAAGTTATTTTTATGGTGAATTTTCATGTAATTTTTTCTCAATATTTTCAATTTCATTTAAATAAGTTTAATCTTATATCGATTTATGTATATTATTTATAAAAATATTCTTCTAACTTTCTAATAGCTAATTTTATCTATATTAATAAATATTATTATTATTATTAATATCAATTGAATAAGCAACTTTATTATCCAATTCAAGACCATTTTATTATTCATCATTACCTCTGCCGTAAGCTTAATAATAAATTTCTTATTGTAATTATTAATCTCTAGAATGAATATTAAATGGCTAATCGCTATTTACTTCTTGTGGTTGAAGTAAAATTACATTTTGATTTTAAATAGGAAGAATTTATGTTTAATATTAATTAATAACATAATTAATATTTTCATTTTATATATTATTATCTTTAAATAAAATCTAGGTATTTAATGGATTAATATTTTATTAATTTTACAAAGGGTTAATAATTTATTATTAATTTATTTATGGAATAGTAACTGTTTAAAAGGTTTACATAATTTATTATTAATTTGTAATTTAAGAATTATTATTTTAAATATTTATAGATTGTGATGATTAAGAAGGAACATGCTCTTATTATATTAATAATTAAGACTAAATCATATTTAATTTTGTTTATTATTATTATTATTATTATTATTATTATTATTATTATTATTTTTTTTATTATTATTATTAGTTTTATTATTGATATACTTATTATTATACTAATTATTATTCCTATTTCTATTCCTATTCCTATTCGTATTCTTATTCTTATTCCTATTCCTATTCCTATTCTTATTTCTATTTCTATTCTTATTCCTATTCCTATCTATTATCCTAATCATATTACTCTACTTATTTCTATACCTATTTCTATTTTTATTCCTATTCTTATCCATATTCTTTTTCCCATTCTAATTACTATTTCTATTATTTTTACTATTATAATTACTATTACTTATGCTATTACTATTTTAATTCTTATTCTACTATCTTTTTCTTTTTCTTTTCCTTTTCCTTTTCTTTTTCCTTTTCCTTTTCTTATTCATTTTCCTATTGTAATTTCTATTATTTTTCTTTTTACTTTTAATATTACTATTCTAATTCTATTTCTTATTTTTATTATTAATTTTTTTTTTAATTTTATTCTTTTTCATATTCTTATTTTTATTCATATTATTATTATTATTATTCTTATATTTATTCTTATTCTTATTCTATTTCATATTCTTTTTTTCTTTTGTTTTTTTATTTTTAATCTTATTCTTAGTTTAATTTTTAATCTTATTCTTGTTTTAATTTTTATTCTTATATTTATTCTTATTCTATTTCTTATTCTTATTCTATTTCTTATTCTTATTCTTATTCTTATTCTTATGCTTATTCTTATGCTTATACTTATACTTATTCTTATTCTATTTCTTATTCTTATTCTTATTCTTATTCTTATTCTTACTCTTACTCTTATTTTTACTCTTACTCTTATTTTTATTCTTATTCTTATGCTTATACTTATTCTATTTCTTATTCTTATTCTTATTCTTACTCTTACTCTTATTTTTATTCTTATTTTTATTATTATTCCTATTACTATTACTACTCCAATTCTTATTTTTACTTCTATTACTATTCTTAATCTTATTACTATTACTATTTTTATTATGATTATTTTGATTAATTTTGTTAATCATATTCTTTATACTATAAATTTTAATTTTACTATTACTGTAGCTAATCTTATTTCTATTACTATTCATATTCTTATTCCTATTCTTATTTCTATTCCTATTACTATTTTTATTACTATTACTATTATTTTAGCTATTTTTATTGTTATTCTTATTTTTAATTATATTAAAATTATTATATTTATTGTTATTCT